CGTGGGAGCATGACGAAGCCCGGGGAGGGAGGGGGAGGCGAGGGTTTAGGGGGAGAGAGGTTATGGGGGCCTTGATTCTGACGAAGGGGGAAGGAGAGAGAGGCGAGGGAGGAAAGGGAATTCGATGGGTTTCGTCGGGGATAATAGGGATTGGGGGCGTCGGCGATTCACGAGGGCGGTCGGGGTTCTGGAGAAGGGGAGGACCTGGGATTCCATCAACAGGAGAAAAGGGATGGGGGGGGGGCTAGAGATTGCTGCTGCGAGTTGAGAGCTTTGACCGTGTATTATTGTTTTCCCTCTCTTCAGTAGGCGTGTAGGCGGGTAGACGAGGAGGAGGAATGTGGCCGCGATGCGCACACCATGAGGTCATCCATCCTCCAGGACGCGGACGATTCTCCTGTGAAATTTAGATGAGATCTTTTCTAGTTGTGGGCTTATTATTTGGGGTTTGTTTTGTCGTGTCTCGAGAATCATGGGACAGCATCATCTCAAGTTTACATTCCCAACATTTTACGATGTTTGGCAAGAAAGGGGAAAAAAAAAAGCTTGGGAACCAGGCATGTTTGGACTAATGAAAATTGCATATAGTGACTTGTCAATGCTAACACTTTTTGATGTTATTCATTCGGGTCATTGGGTATGGATTCAGCTTTATAGTGTTATTGGTTTGCTAGGATAATTGTGGAACAAATACTCCACTTTTCCTAAAATTACCCCAACTATATAAATACCTCTTAGACCCCACCCTCAAAATTAGCCCAGATTGCTTGCTGGAACAAGATGGAGGTAATCTTGCCCTAGATCCTTCTTCCAGCGTCTCTTCTTCCACCGCGTTCTTCCAGCGATCTCTTCTCCTTCTTTCTTCTCCATCACCCTCTCACCCTCCCATCGCATTCTTGCAGCGTCTCTTCTTCCATCGCGTTCTTCCAGCGACCTCCCTCTCGTCGTCGGCAGTATTTGTGGCAACTTCTGACGCCTCCTTGCAGCGACGTCGTGTTTGAATTTGTCACCGTCGAGGTACGTTCTTTGACCAAATTTGGGGAGATCTGATATCCTGCTTATGGCTTTAACTTCTAATTATTTTGTGATTTTTTAGTTATATTTCTGAAAAGTTATATGATAAATGAAGATCTTGAGAACAGACATGGAGAATCACTTTTGGTTGATTTTGGGGTTTTGTGGCAAGCATGACACATGTTGAGAAATTTTGTGACAAGTATAAGACACACGTTGATTTTGGGTTTCCGTGGGAAGCATAAGAACAAATTATGATAAATTTGTCACTGTGGCAAGCATATAAGACACATGTTGAGAAAATTTTAAAAAGAAATTTGGTTTCTGTTGATTTTGGGACCGGTTTTGTTCATTGGGCTTGCATAAGTTTCTGTCATGCTAGGTATTGTTTATGTGAACATATGGTGGATGAAAAATATGTATAGAAGAAATATTACATTAGGCGTTGTTCATTGTAATTTATATGTAGACTATAGATAGATATGTATAGAAGAATTATTTATGGCAATGAAATCATTTGAGGAAAATTATGATAAATTAGAAGAAGTTATTTTGGAAAAAGAATTATTTTTAGAATAATTATAAATAATTTAAAGGAATTTATTTTGAAAAAGGAATTTTTTAGATTAATTGTTAAGAGAAATAATTTAAAATGAATTAATTTAGAAAAAGATTATTTTCTGAATTATGTAGACGTTGTTTATGATTTATAATTCTTAATTTTGATTATCTAATATGTCATGATATTATTGTAAATGATTAGTTGCATTGATTGTTCCTTGTTGTGATTGAGAATCGTTAGGAGTTTATGACTATAGTAACTTGTGTGACATGAATAAGACCTAGAGGCTTGTGTGTTGTTAACTTAGAAATACAAGAGATGTTGGGGTGGAAAAGTCTATGTTCATGTAATCGGATAAGGCTGTTGATATATCTTACAGGCTCACACGAGTGGATCAGTATCGGCACTGTGGTTGGTTTGTTGGGTCAAAGTGGATCAGTGTCGTTACTTTGGTCCGTGAGTTTGATATTCACCCGAGTTTAGCTTGAGTCCGGACCAGGCTGAAAACGGATTACGTGTAGTCCTCTGACCAAGTTTGTGTAGCGGTATTGGATGCACGTAGGATATTTGTGAACAGTCAGTTATCTGATGATATGAGCATTGACTCTGTGTGAGATATGGACCAGTGACCTGTTATAGGATGGCTAGTTACATGACCTTGTTTCTTGGCTAAGTATGAATTCTTGTGAGATGTAGGCCAGTTATATTTCTTTTCATACATAGATCGGGATTAATATTTAATTATCTATAATTTTGAGACATATTGTATATACATGAGTGTTTCCTTGTTTAGATTATTTCGCTCGACGTACTACGTCTCTTGTTGTAGATTTTTAAGTATTAATTCCATCTAGTTGTATGACCTTGTTACTTGGATGATTATTCTGATCGCTAGCTGCATGATCGACTTGTTACTTGGTTGATTTTCTTGGATTCTTCTGATTATTATATTATAGTGGTAGATTGCATTTAAATTATTAGAAGTTTAATACCATACTTCTATTATTATTATTACATGTTCTTGCCTTGGTCATTCGACCATTTCTATTTCTCCCTTATGGGATCTTGTCATGTGACATGCACACTGACGTACGCCTATTTTCTCTGGTGTATGTCAGATTTAGGAGACATACAGCCTCAGTTCAAAATCGTACAGGAGCCAGAGGATTCTTAGCAAGAGTGCTTTGCAGACGGAGCAGAAGAACAAGTTGAAGCTTAGATATTTCCTTAGTTATTTGATGGTCCTTAGTTTATTCTTTTACAATACTTCCTTTCTATTCATGTTGAACGATGTATTTTTATATTTCTTTAGTACTTTTTAGACTGTTTTGTAATAAGGCCATGTTTGACCCAAACTCTGTGTCTTGGATGATGTTCTATTTGTGATATGTCTCTTTTCCATTCTGAGTTGTCTATTATATTCTTGCTAACTATGATCGGGGACTTGTGCCTTTACATTTATTTCTTGATGCTTAGCATATTAGGTTGAGGAAGAATATTTATTTTTATTTATTCTCTTTAATCTAATACGTCGGGGCGTGACAAGTTTCAAAGTTGATCTCCAAGTTGTAAACCTAAAATAATCTGAAATCCCGCTCAAAAGCCTTCAAATCTTTCTCAAAAATCAAATTAGGCTTTATAGGGGAGTTTGGTGGCTGCTAGGGTGTTTAGAATACTGAAAATTCGTGTTTACATGATATATAACAAAGAAAACGGATGTGGGCTTTGAAAATCAGAAACCAACTCAAAATAGGAAAAACATCATACAGGTTTCGCAGTCAACCGAGCTGCGGTCGACCGTGACGGTCGACCGAGCTGGAAATTTCTAGTTTTTTACTCTTTTGGCCATTGTGCATGTTTCGACTCGTTTCCTTCTCATGTATGAACTTGTTTATGCTCAAAATACTTGTCAGTGTACTCATACATTATTTAATGATATTTATCATAATAAATATCCACTTATAATAATTAATCACATATTAATTCAATTTATCAATCATTAACTCAATTTTTTCTGTGGTTTTACATTAGCCCCTATAGTCTTTATGAATCATCAGAGCTAGTTAGCACCAAGCAACTATTGTCGCCTTTGCACTAACTATTTGGATGAATCATCCTCGTCTATAGTCGACACCTATAAGACACCTGCCAAGTCAGCTGCTTGCCTGGACTCGGCCCAAGTTACCTTTTTGCTCTTCTGATTTGCTATATATAAAAAGAAGATGTATTGTATGATGTAACTTCTTCTGCTCCATGCAACTCTGAAGCTCTGGATTAACTTCATCACTTATCTTATACTAGTTGGATTGCACGTGCAATGCACGTGGTAAAATTTTTAAATTTATTTTAAATTATAATTCGGAAAAATTGCTTCAAGGCCCCAAATTCATATTTTCAATGTGCCTTAGCCCCCCCCCCCCTCAAACATGTGCTGCAGCCCCCCTTTTTGAAAAAATTATTAAAAGTCCATCTCCCCAAGTTCTCATGCAAACTCCATACACAATCCCCATTTTACCCTCCCCTACACCCCCCTCCTCCTCCTCCGTTCCCCCTCTGCCCCCGCCCCGCCTCCCTCCCCTCCCCCTACACCTCCTTCTCCTCCCCCGCCTCCCTCCCCTCCCCCTACCCCCCCCTCCCTCCCCCTCCTACAAAAAAGAGTTAACATGTTACAGAAAAGAGTTAACATGTTACAGAAAAGAGTTAACATGTTACAGAAAAGAGTTAACATGTTACAGAAAAGAGTTAACATGTTACAGAAAAGAGTTAACATGTTACAGAAAAGAGTTAACATGTTATAGAAAAGAGTTAACATGTTACAGAAAAGAGTTAACATCCACTGACATGAGAAAAGGAGGGTAAATTTGGGATTTAAGTCAGCTAATATGTCTAATCATGAGCTGGCATGTCTAATCAACTGCTGAAATGAGCTGGAATCATGATGGAGGAGTGATGGAGGGGCTTGGACACATTTTTTTCAAAAAGGAGGGGCTAAAGAACATTAAAAAAAGTAGGAGGGGCTGGGGCACATTGAAAATATAAATTTGGGGCCTAGAAGCAATTTTTCCAAAAAATAATTAAATTTATTGAATGTAAACAATATAGCCCACATATGAACAGAAGCTAAAAATTCATAATGTTTGAACAATAAAATTATATTTAGTGATCAATTATGCGTTAGTACATCTATTTTGTTTGGCGATTTTTTTTA